TACAACTCCCATCATATCGCTTTGACAATGTGATTTCTAATTAGATAATTGATGGAGCGATAAGAATTTTTTGTTTTTGTTTTTGTTTTGGGGCATCCTTTCCTCCTTGAAAGCTACAAAGGAGAGCAGCCAATGAAGAAACCAAAATAGATTGTTGGGCCTGTTCTCTGTGATCATTGTCTAGTTTCAAAATTTGAGAAAACAACTTAACTGTGAACATATGTACATTGATTACGCATCAAATGAAGCATCAACATATTAAAGAAATCCAAACACCAGCACTCAAGAGCCTGAATGCGCTTCAACGACGCACAAAACGTAAGCTTTCCTCCATCGCACTAAATTTAACAACACTTGCAACACCCCAAGGAATCTGCAGCAGCTTCGCGTCATTTTCACAATGATTGAGGAATCAGAGATGCAATGGGCGCTGTTATAATCTCTATATAAACCAATGCCATCTTTGTGTTTCAATCACAAAACAGTCACTGATTAACCAATGCCTATTGTTTCTCTTTGGTGATATTAGGCATTGGGGTTTCAATCTCAACATCGTCTCATGACGTTATTGAGACTTCGATGGTGGACAGGCGCGAGAAATGGATGGCTCAGCACGGGCGGGTCTACAAGGACGCAGCAGAAAAGTTGCACAGGTTCAAGATATCAGCACGGGCGGGTCTACAAGGACGCAGCAGAAAAGTTGCACAGGTTCAAGATATTCAAGGCCAACGTCGAGTACATTGAAGCGTTTAACTCTGCAGACAGAAAAGTTGCACAGGTTCAAGATATTCAAGGCCAACGTCGAGTACATTGAAGCGTTTAACTCTGCAGAAGTGCACAAGTACAAACTCGAAGCTAACCAGTTTGCTGATCTGACGAACGAGGAGTTCAGGGCCTCCTATAACGGGTTAAAGCCTTCGAAGTCAAAAGCAGCGAAGGCAGCAGACCGAAGCAGCTTCAAGTATGAGAATTTTACTGCAGCTCTGGCGAGCATGGATTGGAGGACCAAGGGTGCCGTAACATCTATCAAGAATCAAGGCGAATGCGGTGAGCACAATTATAGAAATTTCCAAGTAGTGTACATATTATTTAGGGTTAATTGCGGATAGGCCCCCTGTAGTATCACGCTTTGTATCTCGATTATATCCCTACGGTTTGATGTGGGCTGATAAAGCCTCTTAGTAGATTTTTTTTGGGAGTTATTTTAACCATCAGATAAAAGAATTGCTTATTGGCTTGTAGACCGCGGTAAAAGAGTCAAAAAAATATTTTACTTGGGGTTCTGTCTGCCAAAATCAAACTACAAGGATAACAAGTTGCAAAAAATAATACCTGAAGCAGCCTAAGTGCAATTAACCCGTTATATAGTAAAGTACTTCTCATGACATGTACATGTGAATGCAGGATGCTGTTGGGCATTCTAAGCAGTAGCATCAACAGAAGGAATCCACAAACTGAGCACAGGCAAACTCATCTCCCTCTCCGAACAAGAGCACATTGACTGCGACACCAGCGGCGAGGACCAAGGATGCAATGGCGGCTTAATGGACGACGCCTTTGAGTTCATAATGAAGAACAAAGGCCTGATAACCGAAGCCAAGTATCCATACACATCCACCGATGGCACCTGCAGTTCCAGAAAGGCTTCAACCAGCGCTGCGACCATCACAGGCTACGAGGACGTGCCTGCCAGCAATGAGGCATCGCTCCCCAAAGCGGTGGTGAACCAGCCAGTGTCTGTTGCGATTGACGCAGGGGGTTCAGGCTTTCAACTGTACTTGAGCGGGGTGTTCACAGGGGAATGCGATACTGAATTGGATCACGGCGTTACTGCAGTTGGATATGGAAAGGCGAGTGATGGGACAAAGTATTGGTTGGTGAAGAACTCGTAGGGGACATCGTGGGGAGAGAAGGGGTATATCAGGATGGAGAGGGATGTCGACGCTGAAGAAGGGCTTTGCGGGATCGCAATGCAGGCTTCATATCCAACTGCTTGAAAAACAATAGCAGATATCCTCCTGTGTTAAATGATTGATGTACATGCATCATGTTGAAGGGAGTCTATCCGTTTGAATTACTGTACTCTTGGTTAATGCTTGTGGTGAATTCCAAAGGGAGGACGTATTTGTACTTGTCCTTGTAAAGCTATGAATGAATACACATTGTGTTTGCCTAGTTTGCCTAGTTTGCCTAGTTTCTTCCTCCTCACATGAGACCATTTCAAGAAGACGAAAAAGTAAATAGAAAGCGAAAAAAGGGAAAAATGCTTCCAGCCCCCAAAACGAAAGAAAACGTGCTTCCCCCTCCTAAGACTTTTTCAATAAGTGCTTTGCCCCCAAAAATAAACTTTGTATTCTCTGAGCCCCAAAAACACAAAACCCAAGAGATTTAAATTCGTGAAGACCATAATACCCTCCATGACCACCTCCTCCTTCCTCTCCAAACCCAGCGACCTCAACCTTCTCTCCTCCTCTTCCTTCCATGGCCTCAAGCTCTCCTCCGCCTTCAAAACCCAATCTTTCTCCTCCCCATCATCGTCATCCTCCGCCCCCCCAAATCTCCGCCTCTTACGGCCTCTCCTCCCCCCGCTTCCGCCCCATCAAAGAATCTAGGGCTGGGCATATTCGGTTCGGTTCGGTTTTATGCCCAATCCTCATCCAATTCGAATTTTTCGGATTCTCAAAACTCTCATCCAAATCCAGATTTTCCCCTTCATCCGAATATTCCGCCCAACCGAAATTCGGTTCGGTTCGGTTCGGTTTCGGTTTTGAATTTGCAAAGAGTTCTATCTAAAAACTTCTGTTGTGAATCTACAAGCTGGGCATTGTCCTTATGATGAGGTTCCTGAGCTCGCCAACAAAGCTTTATTAGACTGGTTATCATCTTTAGAATAAAGTTTTGAGTTGATATAATTACGCAGAGAACTGATGTTTTAAAGATGTTGTTCATATAATACAGCATGCTTATCTCTTGTAAGTATCATGTACATAACACATTTTGTGATTGATTTGAATCTTATGTAATTCTCTAGATCTATTCTGCGAAATTTTTTAACTAAAGTTTAAGTTTATTTAATTACACGGGGGAATGATGTTTTGTATGATATTGTTCATATAATGTAGCAAATGCATCTTTTGTAAGTGCATCATGTGCATAACAAATTTTCTGGAGTGATTTGAATCTTTATTTAGTTATCAAGGATATTTTTCTGTGATATTGATGTACTCATTGCTTGAAACTGCTCATTGCGTCGTTTGAATCTATTGGATGATAACAGAAAAAGTTTTGAGGTATAAGTTTAGTCTCTAAACCGCCCAACAGAATTCGGGTCGGTTTTTTTTGGGCGGTTCAGGGGTTCAAACCGGATCCAAACCGATTTAATTCGGTTCGGGCGGTTTAGAGACTTCTTCTCATCCATTTAATTCGGTTCGGTTAACCGGTCCGTTTTTTCGGACGGTTTTTTCGGTTGAACCGGTTTTTTTCGGTTTTTGCCCACCCCTAAAAGAATCCATCGTCTCCCGCGAGATGACCCACCGCTACATGACCGACATGATCACCTATGCTGACACCGACATCGTCGTCGTCGGTTGTGCCGGATCCGCCGGCCTTTCCTACGCCTACGAGCTCTTCAAGAACACTGACATCAACGACGCCATCATCGAGCAATTCGTCTCCCCCGCTCCGCCATGGTCGTCCGCTAGCCCGCCCACCTCTTCCTCGACGAGCTCGAGGTCCCCTACGACGAGCAGGAGGATTACGCCGTCATCAAGCACGCCACCCTCTTCACCTCCAACATCATTAGCAAGCTGCTGATGCGGCCCAACGTGAAGTTGTTCAACGTGGTGGCGGCGGAGGATTTGATAATTAAGAACGGGAGGGTCGAGGGAGGGGGGAGTCATGACGAACTGGGCGTTGATGTCGATGAACCACGACACCCAGTCATGTATGGATTCGAACGTGATTGAGGCCAAGGTCGTAGTGAGCTCTTGTGGGCATGATCCCCTTTTAGGGGCACTGGGGTTAAGAGGCTGAGGAGCGTTGGGATGATCGACACCGTGTTCAGGATGAAGGCGCTTGATATGTTAAGGTTACGATTGTTAATGTTACGATTGTTAATGTTACGCGTTGGTTGTTAAGGTTACGGTTTGGTTGTTAATGTTACGATTTGATTGTTAAGTTTATAGTTTGGCTATGAAGGTTACGGGTTGGCTATTAAGGTTACGTGTTGACTGTTAAGTTACGGGTCCGTAACCTTAATAACTAATGCGTAATAGGTGAATTCTCATAAACAACAATATTAGGCAATTGAAGAGCTAAAAAAATAAAAAAATGAATATTATAAAAATATTTTTAGAATTCAAAGACTTCACAACCAAAGCGTAACCTTCACAACCAAAGCGTAACATTCACAACCAACGCTTATCTATAACAACAAACCCGTAACCTTAACAACAAATGCATAACCTTCACAACCAACGTTTATCCTTAACAACAAACACGTAACCTTAATAACCAACACGTAACCTTAACAATCAACTTGTAACCTTCACAACCAAAGTGTAACCTTCACAACCAATCCTTATCCTTAACAATGAATATTCTAAAAATATTTTTAGAATTTAAAAAGCCCAAGGCCTATCAAAGACCCTTAAATATATATTATGGTTGTAGGGGTTTGAACCCCTAACCTCTTATCCAACCTCCCAAACTTTACCACTAGGCCAAGTGACCCAAAGTATTCATGTCACTCAAAATATATGTACATATATATCCCAACCTATAACCTTCATAACTAACTCGTAACCTTAACAATCAACCCATAACCTTAACAACTGACCCATAACATTAACAATCGACCCGTAACCTTAATAATTAACCCGTAACCTTCACAACCCATAACCTTAACAACCGACTCTAACCTTAACAACCAAGCCTAACCTTAACAACCTACCCTCTCCCCCTCATGGCTTCAACCCATAACCTTAACTAGCAACCCGTAATCTTCACAACTAATGCGTAAACCAATACCTCAAGTTGAAGCCACGAGGGGAAGAGATGTTGAGCAAAGACCATCGCAGATCAATTTTACTCACACAAAAGTTACCTACGATATCATACATTGCTATATATGTTTCCGAATCTTACAAAAAATCAATAAGAAAAAGGAAAATTACCCAACAATTAACCCTTCAAAAAACAAAAAACAAGATTAAAATCACTAACAGAATTAACCCTTCAAAAAACAAAAAACAAGATTAAAATCACTAACAGGACCCACTTCCTTCTTCCACCTCCTCAATCCCTTCAAATGCTTCAACAACAAGATTAAAATCACTAACAGGACCCACTTCCTTCTTCCACCTCCTCAATCCCTTCAAATGCTTCAACTTTCACACAATCTTTTACCTGAAAATTCTTTTTGCACTCATCAACTAGCCCCTTAAGCTGCCCAACAAGCCGATTCACCATATCCCTCCTCCCAGTCACCAAACAAACAGTGAGAAACCTCGTCAAGAACGTCATCTGCTTGTCCATCAGCCCCAATTCCACTGCCCTTGCCCTAACCCTAATCCCTCCCCTCTAAAGTACTCCCTGCTCAAGATCACCTCGTAGAACACAAACACCTCCGACGAAATCGACGGTGAGGGGATTGACGGAGCTTCGACGGCGACGGCGGCGACGGGGATTGACGGAGGTCGAGCTTCTCCGTTGGGATTGACAGAGGAAACTCTTTCAAAACATAACAGATATAAAAGAGAGAGAGAAGAGTATTATGGTCTTCACGAATTTAAATCTCTTGGATTTTGTGTTTTGGAGGCTGAGAGAATACAAAGTTTACTTTTGGGGGCAAAACACCCGTTGAAAAAGTCTTGGGAGGGAGAAACACGTTTTCTTTCGTTTTGGGGGCTGGAAGCATTTTTTCCAAAAAAAGATATAATATCTTCTACAAAATTAAAAAAGTAAAAAGGAAAAGGAATTTGAGATGTCCAATCATGAAGAACTCTAGGCGGCAATAAACAGAGACGAATATGACAACCATTACCAAGATCTTCAAGACCAAGGAAAAGGAATATGAGTTGGCCTCATCTTCTTCTTTTTGTAGACTTTCTCAAATTTTCTCAATGGAAGCATGATTAGATTCTTTGATCCTATCAGTTTCCTCTCAAACCCATCTGTGTTTTCTTGCTCTCTCTTCTTTTTTGTTTTCTTTTTCTTCTTTGGTTGCTGCTGTTGTTGAATTTGATCATGATCGATGTCCTCTGTTTCTTCAATGGAGAAATTTACAAAATAGACTCATACACAGCTTTATTCTCCAAAATCGACCTATTTAAAACTTATTTACAAAAATCGATTCATTTTCGACCACCTCAGTAGCATGGGCAGAAACTAGGTCATTTTTTAAAAAATTAGTCAGGTTTGCCAACCCCGACTAATTAGAAACCCAATTAATTATCTTTCAAGATAGTCAGGGTTGGCAGTTGTGACTATTTTAAACTGCAATCTCAATCCCCACTACTAAACACTGTAATAAAACTAATCTCTAATTAATCAGAGTTGGTAAACCCTACTAGTTAGAAAGAAGCATTTTTTCTATTTTAAATCAACCTAGTTCCAGTCTGCATTGTTGACATAGCTGAAACTGGATCGATTTTTGTACATAAGTTTGAAATGAGTCAATTTTGGAGAATAAAATTGTAAATGAGTCTAATTTAAAAAATTCTTCTATCTTCAATGGGTTCTTTCATTGTTAGAAGTTAACAGCTCCCAGCCCCACCTAACCTCTCCACATACCTAGCTACAGTAATCACCTAACTCTAATAGTGTGTCCCTACCCCATAAGAAAGCCTATATATACTCCCCTAAGTTGGATTTGTAAGGCATCCGAGT